CAGGCTCACCATCTCCCAGGAATGGGGGACCAGGGTAGCCTGGCTTGTGGGGAAAAATCCCAAAGGAATCAAGGCAATTATGAGTGAGACAATATCTGTTAAGACTGCAGCAGTAGCAACATGTGCTCCTCTGCTGGACATCAGAATGAGAATGAGCCCCTTCAGTTGTGGTGAATTACCTGCTCACTGCTCCAGATCTGGGGCTCTCTCTGGTTTCAGTGAGAGAAGAGCTTCCTCTCCAGGGACTAGAAAAATAAAAAAGAACCAAAACAGAACAAAACAAACCCTCACAAAACCAAAAATACTCCAAACAAACAAACAACCAAAAAACAAGCAAAAAACAAACAAAACCCAGACCAACACATGCTTCTTTTCCTGCCAGGAGTTGATTCTTCCAGATTGTGCTTCATAGCACTTCTTGCCCATTAAATTTCTACTTCTGGCACTACCTATTAGATGCACAGATGTAAGTAAAGAAGGATTTTAACTGAAATCAGATAGTGATCTTACTTGACTTTCTTCCATTCTACATTCTCTAAACAAAAGCACAGATTTAGGTTAGCTGAAGTATTCACTAATTTGGGTGATTTTACTATTGGGGAGTTTTTGCTTGCTAAGACACTTCTCTGCAAGCATTTTTCTTTTAAAATAAAAGGAAATAAAATCAAGGTTGGTTTCAGGCTTTTATAAATGAAACAGTCTATTTATGATGACACTGCAATTAGCTTTTCTCTCAGTATTATCAATTAAAGTATATGTTTGGCTCTCATTCTCTAGTTCTGGCTTTACTTTTCTGTTGATCCATCCATCTGCTTCTCTAGTTCATCTCAAAAGATGCTGTCTACCGAATATATTATATCCTTTTGTCTTTCATTTTATTTTTAGTTATTAAAAATGCTTACAGTCTATTCTGTGGGGCCTAATTTTGTTAAAATCTGGCTTCAGAGGTCCCTAAGGAACATTGAGAGAAGCAATAAAACCACCCAAACTTTTCATGTCTCTCACCTTGTGGATGTCCAGTGAAGGAAAACTGCCTTAGAAAGAAAAGTACTTTTGCTGTCAGGTGTTATCAGCTTCTTCCTTTCTTGGCATCTCCAGTCCTCTGCCTCAGTGCTGGGCACATCTGAGGTCAGCAGGTGTCACACACAAAGGGGCTGGGAGGGCTGGTGAAGGGAAAATCTTCCTTCTTTATCCAGACCAGCCAAGTATAGGCAGCTTCAGTGCTTGCTTGCTCCATATGGTGTCCTACCAGTCTACTTCAGAAATTACAGAAGTAGACTTGATTTAGGCAGGAGAATTTCCATTTTAATAGCTGGCTGGGCAGCTCATCTGAAACTGCTAGCAGGGATAGAGCCACATGGATACAGCTGATGCCTTTCCTGTGGGAGCTGTTACTTGAGGAAGTCTGTTTCTCACACCATGAACAGGGATTGAATCTATGGACCAGAGGCAGGTGAGCTGTTATCTTGTGACCCTCAATTCTTTCTGTTGACCTGGCAGGAATGAGCAGGATTGAATTACATAAAAAGCACAGCTATCAACAATACAGGGAATGATAAGGCAAAAGCAAAGAGAATGTTGTGTAAATGTAAAAAGCCTTTTAAAAAGCTCCTGTACAATGTTATCCAGGCAGTGTACACTGCATTTGTAAGCTACTGTGTATTTAAAAAATTAATGAAAGATATAATTATAGGAGCATTAGCAATGATCATTTCTAAAATGACTCTGTCATGAAACTGTAAGCATTTCAGAATTGATTTCCATGTTTCTAATAGTTTTCTGCAAATTAATGACATATAGCCCTGGCAATAAAAGCCTTGCCTTGTTTCTCCAAAGAAAAGATTGGGAAGCATTTTCTGTTTTCTTAGCAATGATTTCACTGTCAGCTGTGCATAAAGCCAGTTGAGAAGATGCTTTCCTATTAGCTAAGATTTTATGTGGAATTGTAACTCAGAGGAATAGAACAAAATCTATGCAGTCTAAAGCCAGTAAATTACCATTCTATGTCTTAGGTTGGGGAACCTTTTTAAAATTGAGCTTAGTCTGAAAACTGACTCCATCTAAATACCATCTGGGCTCTTGTATTTATTGCTTCTCAAGGACTTCCACATCAGACTGCTTATATGGAAGAATCAAAATATACCTTCTTTGTTGGCTTCTCAAAGCTGGACCTTGAAAATCCAGCTCTCTTGTTTTCTATGCTTGCAACAAGCAATTAAGAGCTTTCAGTTAGATCATGGTAGGCAAAGTCATTGAAGCAAAATTTATAGTACATTTCCTTTCTCCCTGAATTATCTTGATAGTTTAGCTATGTTTATTAAAAAAAATCCACCTCCCTTATTTAGGGACCAAAGTAAATGGGAAATGAAGGCACATGGGAATCAGATAAGTTGAATGATCTTCAAAGCAATGTGAGCACTCACCAGCTGAGTAGGGAAAAGTAAGGCCCCACCAATCTCTTTTTGCATCTCTTTCCTTGGAACTTCTTTGTTTCTTTGGTCTTGATATAGAAACCAATATGTAGGAACTGGAACATTTAGTGCCAAGCACTTATTGGTAGCTGGACACCATGAGTCTTAAAATGTTGTAGCTCTTTGCTGTCTGCCCAAGCCTCTATTGGACCTGGCCACTTCAAAACATATATGGTGGGAGAGGCCCTGTGCATGCACCTTGGGCACTATGGAAAAACATCCAGTGATGTCATTCATAAAACTGAGGAAGGGGAGCTCAGCTGCAACACCTGTTTTTTTCAGTTGGGATTTGTGCCCTGTTATTGTTTGTTTAGCTCTTTTTAACCTTCACAAACAATGAAGACTTTGATCACTTTCCAAGAAAAGCTGCTTGATAGAACCTTGGAACCCCACAGATCACATAGCACTGTCCTCCATTCCTTGTATTTGCTTATAGAAAAGGATAGAAGTTTCAAATGCACAACAAATTCATCTTGAGCTGTCACACGGCGCTTGTGGCATTGGCCAATGACGCCATGCTGTTGGCGGCATTTGGCTTTGGTGAGCAGGGTGCAGGTGCTTGGTGGCTTCTCTGCTGCTCTTATCTCAGAAGTCTCTTCCACTGTGACTGATTAGCCTTAATAAGTTTTTTATTAGAAGAGAGAGGGTGGTTAGAGAAGTTACTACTTTAGGAATCAGCTGACCCAGAACCATCTCTGCAGCGCAAAGGAAAACCTCTCTCTGTTAACACTCCTCTAATTCCATTTAGTGTAGTATTGTTTCCATCTAAATTATAGCAATTATACACAAAGATCTTCTTTGAAATCATTTAATTAAAGAGTATTTGATGTTCTGTGCTTTTGGAATGCCAATATGTTGCCTTCCTCTTGGAAAAACTTGGGGTTTTTTCATTGATTTTCATGGCAGAAGGAATTGTTTAAAAGCTTTTAAAAATAGATTTAAAAATCAAGTAATTCTGGTGTATTTTTGTAAACCACAAAGAAACCTTTTGCCCTCCTGATGGACAGTTAGCTAAAGAACAATCTGAGGAGCAAGATTTTCATTTTAGATGCATTGATTTGCAAAGTGTTGGATTTCTCCAGCCTTGTCTTCTTCTGGGTTTATGCCAGTGTTTCTCTTTGGTCATGTTTCTTTTGCTGTGTTTTCCATGTAATAACCACCAAATTCTATACTGGTGTAAATCTGCTGGACTGAAAGATTTCTGCTTGCTGCATTGCTGATTTGCAGGGACTGATGTTTCAGTCATGCAGCACAAACAAGGTTCTATGTGCTGAAAGCACATGGGAAATACCTCGTGCCGAGGAAAAGTGGGGAGGTGAACTGCAGTTAGAACTCCTCCTGAGAACAGTGCTGGAGGCTTTCTGCATCCCCCGACCATGCTCCTTCCCATTCCTCCCTTCTCCCTCCTGCTCCCAGTGCCCTGGCACCCCATACTGCTTTGGTTTCTGTGGGTTTCTCTTGGTCCAGGGTGTGCCTTCAGTGCTGAGGAACAGGAATTGCAGCTTCTCCTGCAGCATGGCCTGGGTGCTGTGATGTTTCCTATCATTGATACCCTGCAATTCTTACTCTATACTAAGAATGGTTCTGGACAGCCAGCAACAATCTACCTAATAAATCCATTTTACCAGACAAGTCCTTCCCCACTTGCTCGCTCCTAACCTGAGCCGCTTGTTCACGACAGCACACAGGTTCTCCTTGTATTGTGTCCTTCCTGCTTGTCAGCTTAGTGGAGCTCCTCTGTGAGGCAGAACTTGGATATAGACAGGTGTCCACAGCAAACCCACCACTTCATACCCTCAGATATTGCCCACCCACCATTGTCTCCCTGATCCCCATGAGCTGAGACAGGTCTCCAGGGGAGAGCATGATTGATTCCTGGGTGGTTGTTGTTTCATGGAGAGCAGCAAAATGCAGAGCAATTTTGGTGCAGACTAGAGAAGGAGTGAGTGGAGAGCAAAGCCAACAACTCAGTATGATTACAGTGTAAACCAAGATCAGCTAGAATAAATAATGGCAGCACACTGGGGACACAGCAGGATCTGAATTACAGTCAGTGTGGGGAAGTCTTGTTTTCTGCTTCTCTTTTGATTTCATAGGAAAATTTGTAAATCTTGTCTTTCTTCCTCTTTCTTTGTTAGTCTGGAATAATTAGAACAAAACTTTTAATCACATAAGTGGCTTGGGTAAAAATGTAGATTAGTAAAAGACTTGGAATAATAAAAACAGTAACATGTACTGTCCTCTAAAGATTGCAATAAGGGTGATTAGACTTGGGTTCCATTTTGCTGGATGCTAGGGTCAGGGGAAGACCTTCCTACACAGGCTGTGTACCAGTGTCAGGAAAAGGCTAAACACTCCTGGGATGTTGTAAGAACAGGAAAATATTATTCATGACTGATTACCATTTTCTGGCATTAAGCTCCAAGACTGTGTATTGGTTTATGCAGCTGAGCTTCATGAGTTGTTATTTGCTGTATTGGAGGTATGAGCCTGGCTGACTCTTTCTTTTCTTTTGTGTCCCCTGCTCAGAGTTTTTGGGCACTTCAGCCTTCGTTCTGAGTGGCAGCTGGTCAAGGTGGATTACAAATCTCTCTTCAGCCGCAGGTGTACCAAGGATGACTACCAGACCTGGCACCTGCACAACCAGGTATCCCCACTCTCCAGGGGGACATTGGTGGGGTTCCTTTTCCCCTGCTCTGTGTTTCCAAGTGAGAATGCAGCTGTTCTTTACATCAAAGCATATGGATTTTTTTTTTTTTTTTTGCATCCCTTGAAAAATGTGCATGAATAAACATGGGGCCAGGCATCTATGGGCAAGCTCAGGAGATTACCTTCTATTTTTAGGAATATAATCCATCGCACTGGTTGGATCTTTTTGGCCTCAATGCTTAGGGCAGTGTAAAATGACACCTTATGATTGAATTGTAGATGACTCTGAATTCTTTGTAGCTCTGTCACCGACTCATGAAAATAATTTTGTTTCAGTTTGCCTCTTATTTCCCCTACTCAAAAATGAAAATAAAAACATTTATTCATCCTGCAGGTCCTGCAGGTATCTGTAAAACTCTTGAATATCTGTAAAACCCTTGAATCTGAAAAGCTCTTGGATAAAAGACACCAGAGAAAACCACATTATTTCTTTCTACTCAAGGATGCATGCTTTGTTTTTCATACACTGACTTATTGTCATGCTGGATATATTTAGGTCCTGAAGGAACTATAACTGAGAGGTCAATAACCTCTGCAGATTACTTATGGGTTACTGACTACCAGTATGATGTCCCACAGCCTGCAGAGTAACATGACTAGAGCCAGAACCATTGGCACTGTGACAGTCCTGAATGAAATCCATGAATGAGAAATGAACATTAATTTGGCAAGGATGAGATAATTGAAGTCATAGAATTGAATAAATGAAAATCATTTAAATGAAAGAAAAGGGAAGATATGTGTAACCATGCAGCAATCTTGGGAACCACTGTTAATAGGGAAGAGAAGTATTTCAATTAGGTGTCTTTTTTCTTACTTCTATGCAGACAAAATACTTCTGCAAAATAGAAAATTCTGTTTATAGCAACTCACCTAGATGTCAAATGTTTGTTTTAGATTAGCTACTCCCAGTAGTGTTCTTGGAAACCTTTGCATTCAAAAATTCCAGTGAAACATACATCAAAATTGTCTATAACAAAGCCAGATCTGTCACAGAAAGAGGAAGGGAGTTGAGCTCTGTGTTCCACACCTGGATTTTGTCCCCTGCCCTGGGATTCAGGCCTGGGCACTTGCTTCTGCAGTAGACTTTATATGACATATGGAAGAAACCCTGGCCTACACCCCCATTGTCTTTTCAGGATAATTCGTAGGACTAGATATTGGTGGATGCCTTCTGAAAGGTGACATAAGTGGGTGTGATGGCTTGGGCATCCAGGCATTTTGGGCATGCTGTCATTGGCATCCCAACTCAACACTGGGCACACTGTGCTCATGAGTCCTCCCAAGGAGACTTTTGGTTTTGCAAAGCCACAAAAGAGCAGGACTGTAACTCCCCACCCTCCCAGAGATAAATGTTTGTCTTCATTGCCTTTTGTGTCTTTTAAAAAAATGCTTCATTTAAGACCCAGCTGCCACTAAAACTGTGTTTCTCCTCTTGTTCCTTGGCCAATGAAGGGGGAGCCTTGTGTCATGGGGGAGAGGAAGATCTATAAAAAACGCAAGCCTGGAGTCCAGTGTTCCCTAGGTCGGGACTATTCCCAAACTGTGGTGTCTGAACCGTGTGTCTGTGGCCAAGGAGACTTTGAGTGGTGAGTATGTGACCCTGGGGACTTGTGCAGGGGCTGAGTTTTTTTCCCAAAATACCACCCAGACAGAAAACCTTGCAGAAGTGAGTCTCTTGCAGCTTTATAGCTGTGATCATACCATGTAGCAGAAATGTGACCCCCAAACCTGCTGAGTGAAGGAGGCTTCTCCTTCCTCTGCAGGAAATATTGTTCATTTCCATGAGAAATCCAAGCCTGGAATTCAAAAGCAAAATAATTGCAAGTACTGGTGGACATTTTATGTCTTTCATTCCAGAATAGTGACAGCCAGGACTTTTCTGGTCCAAAATATATTCCTTTCAGAAGAGGGGAGGGTATTTCTCTCCCAAGGTCATTGACTTCCTAGGGGGAAAGCCAGCAAAACATGCACATTTTAATCATTATTCCTTTGAATAGATGGGAACAGTTTATTGCTTCTTAACAATGTTTTATTGAGAAATTTCTGAAAGGGCTTCTGTGACATGACTGTACAGCCCACCCTTGTCAGATATAACTACTTGTTTTGCATAAATATTGGTCTTTCTAACTTAATGGGACCATAATTTTCAAATTGCTTTAAGGTCACTTTGAAAGCAGCTTAAAAATAAAACAGGGGAGAAATGAGACACTGCTTGCTATTGCTTGACAATCAGAGATAGGAGATGGGAGAATGCATGTCAGGATCTCTGCCCAAGGAATTCCTACATAGCACCTGTGATTGGCAATATTTCTCAGATTTAAGACTGTCAATGTCTGTCACATTTGAGCTTAAATGATCAGAATGTCATTTAAATGGAATTCAAAATACCCTGAAAGCTGATCAGCTGGGAAAACATTTTAATCTTTATAGTAGGTTATTCAGGATCAGTGTCTGACTGGTATTGGTGTTATTCCTGAACACTTCACCTACCTTCAAATGCTTTCTGAAGAGGTGTGAGGCATGAGATCTGTACATTTATTTGGACTTAGGCTCACAGTTCTCTTGACATGGACATAGTGAAATGCAGCAAAATTAAGAAAAATATTGACTAGAGTATTTTCTTGACTATTGTAGTAGTTTGTCTTTAAGAGTGAGTTGGGGATTTAGAACAGAAAATTTAATCTGATCTGGAGGGTATTTAATTTGTTCCTCATGTCAAGATTACATCTGAGACTCCATATCTTGACTCATGAGATCTTTCCCCTTCGTTCTCATGATGGGAACTTGCAGGATGACCTGTCTTGCTTTGCAGTATCTGCCCTTGGCATTGGCATAGGCCTCTGGGGTGAATACAGCACCAGTTTCCAGAGATGCTAATGAATTTGTTTGGTTTTGGTTTTTTTTTTCTTTACACTCACCTGCTTTATATTTTCGCAGGGAAGTTTATCTTTTCCAAGCTGTAAGTGAAAAACTGTGGTAGCTGAATGGGCCTTGAATGCTGCCTTGAAAAGGGTCTGCATGAGAATGCACCTTTTCAATCACATGACAGATTCCTTGCAAGCATTCAGTATCATTTTTGATTAACTTTCCCCCTAATATGAGAGGGTATTGCTGTTAAACTTGTCAGTCCTGCAGAGGAAATGCAATTAGAGGACAACAAGCTGGCTTTCGTTTCGGAGCTTGCACTGCCAACAGAATTGTTAACTAGTTTCCAGTTGCAAAATTGTTACAGCTGGTGATGGAGAATCAGAAGAAACTTTATGGTGAATTTTGATGCTACTCAGCAGGGCTGACTGGAACAATGTGTGAGACAGTCCATTTGAGGAAAATACTGGCAGTGCTGCAAGTGGGGCACTGAACTTGATCATTTTAAAAGTGATTTTTCAGAGAGGAAGGGGGATCTTGTGCTCTGATTTGTGATTTCTAAGGATGAAACACTTGCTTAGTCATTTGCAAGACACAGGTTATTCCAGAATATGTTCTAGATTGATCTGCCTTCCTTGGGATGTCAGTATGAGAAGGGGAGATGCTGACAAGTGCCTTTTCTCTGCTCACTGAGAGGTGGACAGGACAGGTGAAAGGACAGCTCCTACTTTCACTTGATGCTCTTCCAAGAAAAACTCGTTCCCTTTCAAGGAAAAATGTCCACTCAGCCTCCTCTGCCTGGGCTCACAGTTGCCAGTTCTTGAAAGCCCTGACTGCTCTGTGCCTTGGGTTGAACTGGGCAGGCCTGTGGGTGTCAGGGAAAGGAGGAGGCCCAGCAGCCAGGACTGTGTGAGTGCAGTGACCAGCAAGTGCTGCCAGATGGGCCCTCTGCTTCCTCAGAGAGAAGGTTTGGAGCTGGTTCTGGGCTTGGAGCACCGCGTGCCACTTGCTGTGATGACACCTGCCTTTGAGGGCTGTGGGGATAGGACAAAAAGCTGCAGGAGCCCTTCAGCACACGCTGAAGTGGGGGCTGTGCTCCCTCCCATTTGGTCACAGTGCCTTTGCCCCTGTCTGCCTCATGGCTGCAGTGCTGTTCCCTGCAGTTAGATAAAAGGCTGATCTAAAATTCAGGGGCATAAATCATGATTATGCCCCAGTTCATAAAATCCATATGAGTCAGGATCAGGGGTGACTCCTGCCAACCCTTGCAGTCATTTCCAGAAGCAAATTCTGGCCTTTCTCTAACAGAGAGAATGGCAGAAGGATCTCATAAGTGATATTAAAGTGCTCACTGAGCTTTCTTTTCCCTCCTCCTGCTTCTTTATTTACTCTGTCAAGATAGCTTTCCTGAGAAAGACAGCACAGCAGCTGGACTTGATTATTTCCTTAACTTATGCAAACCCTGGGGCTTGTGAGAGGGAAGGTGGGCAGCATGTGAGGTTTTAATATACATTTACCAGAAGTTAATGAACAAGCGCAGAACCTTGAGGGCACACAGCAATGTTGTCTTTAATTTTATTAAATATTTATGCAGCTCTTTTCTTCTTTGGGGCAAAGTACAGCTCCTCCTGAATATTTTTAATTACAAAGTCCCTGCCAGGCATTTTCAACTGTGCAGGTCGGACCCACTGAGAATGATTAAATTGAATGTTGAGAGAAAGAGCATTAGGGAATCTCCAAACCATTTAAAGTAGCTCACAGAATTTTTGTCCTCCAAAAAAGAACAGTAGCAGGCTGGGCCATTGGGGACATAGCACAATTTTGTCTCACCAAAGATCTTCCTAGAGACTTTCTGTTGGCAGTTCAGGCTCTGAACAGGGGAAGGATAAAACTCAGAGTGTCCTAAAGGGTACAGAATGCTTTCAAGACAGTGCCTTCTGTAGTGTCTGTGTTTTCACAGAGGTTTAGCATGTTGGCATTTGTTAACTTGCTGCAGGCGAAAATCCAGAATCTCTTTTTATTTGTCCTTTGAATCCAGCCTGTCAATAAAGGCTACACATAGAAACCTGATCCAGACCCTATTAAAACTTATGGAAAGCTTTGGATTAATCCTATTTCTTCATCATTGTATTGGCACACAAAGGCAGCTGTAAAAAGAAGTTTTGGATGTGGTTGTGTACAATTCCATTCTTAGGTGGTCCAAGGAAGAATCAATACCCTGGATTGCCTTCCCTGTGGGACACAATACCATGCAATCTTTAGACTACAAAGCTGGTTGTGTTTTAATTTAGTGTTGGAAAAACATCAGCTGGTTTTTTTCCTCTTGGGTAAGTCACAGCTTAGCCAGGGAGTCCATTAACATACATAAATATACATACTGTGGCTAGTTGCTCAGGAAGTGCTCCTAGTGTTTTATATTCCTAGCCACTGTTGTGAAAAAGTGACATTAGATCTTAGAATTAGCCTGGTTCATTCTAAAAGCAAAGGCTGCAAAAAACAAACAAACCAAAAGAACCCAAAAAGTGACATTTAAGTCAGAGATTGATAGAAATAGAAACAAACAATATAATACTTTTTCTGAATCTCTGTCATGTTTTGTTGCCAAATGAAGCACAAGTCCTGCAGTGCTCTGCAAGTTTGGTAGTTCTGCTGCTGTGGGGATCAAATGCCCTCAGTGAATTGTGTTCCTGCATCTCACACCAGTCCAGCGCTTTGTCTCTGGATGAGCCCAATCCATGGTGTTGTGCCATCCCAGCAGAGAACCACCAACACACACCTGCTTTGGGGACATCACCTGAAACTCTGGGCTAACTCTAGTGGAGGCTACAGTGATGGATTCATGACTTCTCTCCACAGTGACTATGGATATGAGAGGCACAGCAACAACCAGTGCATCCCAGCATTCTGGTTCAGCCCATCTTCCCTGTCCAAGGATTGCAACGTTGGTCAGAACTACTGGAACAGCACTGGGTAAGTGCATCTTGCAATCTGTCTGGTTTTGGTGACTGCAGCAGACAAGAGAACCGGGATAGTTCTTTTTTTCTCTGCATCCCATTATGGTCTTTTTCAGTCTTATCCATGAGGTGATGTTTGCAACAGCATCTGTATGGAAAATTGCCTTGTTCCTCAGAGAGAGGGAGAAGCATGTTAACATAAGTGACAGATAGATATTGCATTGCTATCAAGTGATGTGTGATCCCTGGAGCCTAGACTTGGAGCTCCCCTTTGTTGCAAAATTAAAACACAAATCAAAAAGGTCTGCCTGAGAGGCAGCTGAACATTTAAAAGGACAGGTTTGAGGTATTTCACATTGTATTTTATTGAACCTCTTACTATCTTACCGCTTCTATTTATATCAGCTTCTAGGAAGGCTCAAATGAGCAATTTTTAGTCTCTTTAATGTTTTCTTCCTCTGCCATTTTCACTTTGTACATACAATGCCTTGCATTTCAGACAGGCTTCATGTACTGGTTTCTCCTGGTCTAACCCAGAACAGATGGCAAGTATTGGTTTATTATGGCAGCATCACTTTGCAAGTGTTCTACTATCATGCAGGAAATGCTGTGAGACTTGAGTTTTGCTGTTAGCCAACATCTTCCAAGAAGAGCCAAGAGAAAAACCCATACCTCAAATCATTTTAAAACTGAACTGGTCAAAGCCCTTGACACATTTTTTCAAGTGCCCTCTAGCCCAATAGAGGCAGACAAGACCTAATAAATGGTATAATTAAAAAGCTGGGATGCAGGATGCAATCCTGCAGGCTTTGGGTTGGAGGAATTCTCTGCCTTTTAGGAACGCAGAGTAATTCACCTCCACAATGTGTCTCTTCTCAGTGATGCTGCTGGGAATCTCTGGAGAAGGTTCAATTGTGATTGGTTTGGCTTTCTCCTACTTAATAAAACATTAAATTTCTTTGAGCCTCCCGTTCAGTGAGGGGATCGTGCAGGTAGTTAACCTTTGAAAAAAACATGCATTAATGTGGAGGGACAAAACAAAAACAGAACAAAGGAACTTTTCCACCCACTGTCTGAGCCCAATGTCCTTTGTTCCTGTTCCCCAGGTACCGCAGGATTGTGTCTAACAACTGCACAGATGGCTTGAGAGAGAAATACATGGCCAAGATGGAGAAATGCCCTGGGAAAGCACCTCGGGGATTGCACATCCTCACCTCTGATGGGAAGCTGGTCATGGAGCAGGGGCACAACGCCACCTTCATCATCCTCATGGAAGAGGTGTGTTAGTGGTCTCAGTAAACCTTTCTCTGTGTGGCAGGACTGGCATTCTTTTCCTTTGCTTTTCAAGCTGCTTAGAGGAAAATAGTGATCAAGGGGGAATCATGAAATAGTGAATGGTCCTGAGATTTATGAGACTTAAGGAATTCAAGAGAATTGAAGGCTATAGTGACACAAACAAGCAAGTCATGTTGGGTCACACCAAAGGTGTTTGCTTGTCTTGTCTATCAGTGATGATAATGCTGAAGAAAGATAGATGTGGTCAGATATTTATTTCCCCACTCACTTCTTGCTGCTTCCAGTAAACTGCAGTTTATGAGACAGAAGTGGTGTTTCTGTGATCCAAAATTCTGTATCTGGGATGCGAAACTTTAACTTCAGCTTTTCTGGGAAAGGTTAAGAGCAGTGGGGAGCATGTTCACACTCACGGGGAACAATGAGGGACATTGTTATTTTGCAGTAGGAATTGATTCTCCTCAAAGCATCTCTAACCCTATCCCTTATCTATTGTAGTTATCTATTGGAACAGTTCCCTCTGTAGCCAGCAGTAGCATAAGTGACACCAGGCCATGCTGCTGCCAAAAGCATCAAAATGCTGAGGCTCTTCTGGCCACGGACTGAGGTGGTGCTGGAGAAGAACAGCTGGTTTTTGTCACATTTTCTGCCCTGTGTATGTTATTTTGGAGCAGTACCTGGGGACAGCTGAGGCAGACCACCCACACACGACACATTCTCACACTAAATTAAATTCTTATATAGTAGCTAAGTATTTCAGTGGGACCACACTAATCTGACAGGGCCTCTTTACTACTTCCTCAGGGGTTCATGCATGCTCTGCTTTTATACAAGAGGGATTTCTTGTCTGCTTGCTGCTTCTTTTCTATTCTGCAGACTTGACATGGTTAGACAATTTATGTAGACACTATGAGTGGGAGTTCAGAAAAGAACAGATATAATCTAAAAATTAGGAATCAACTAGTAATTTATTAAGGAACTCAAGCAGAACTGCTGTGTATGAAGAATGATAAACAGATGGGGAATAAGGCAGCAGTCAAGGTAGCTGAAGAGTGGAATCTTTGCAAGGATTTAGAGATTGAAGAGGCAGCTGAATAAATATGTGAGGGCGTTCACTCATGTCTGTTGTTGAGAAATAATGGTAGTTAGAAAAACATTTCATTGAAACAACCTTTTTTTCTTTTTTTTTCTAAGGGAAAAGGCTCTTTGGAATATGTCTCTGTAGGTGAACTGTTTATTCCACAGAAAGTTGTGCGTTGAGTTTGTTTCTCAAAATACTAGAATTTCAAGAAGAAAAGAAAAGGAACACTGAGATTTTGGACAAAGCTATTCCAGTCTTTTAGTGTGAATCTGAGAAGAATTGTGACCAAGGATTTCCTTATGACTTGGAAGAAATAGTTTCTGTAGAGGTCTTAATTATTACTTACCTTGCTGCCATACAGATTCATTCCTGGCTTTCTCCAACTTTTCTGGTCAGTCTCTTTACTGGTGGTAGTTTAGCACATATGTTTACACTTCCCTTCTGAGCCAAAGAGCAGCCTGACCAGCCCTCCTGTGGGTACATCTGTGTGGTGTCCATTCAGCTGTGGCAGACTCACCCTGATCAGCCAGCAGCTCTTTCCTAACTTCTAGTGTACACCCTCAATATATGGAAGTGGCTGATCTTTGGGCATTCAGTGGTAAATGAAGACTTCATCATAGTTAATCAAAACCTGAATTTCTCAGGATTTATAGAATTAACTTCAGTAGGATTCTTTACAATGATATTCACAATACATGTGTGGCGATGACTACAGACAAATAAATGCAGAATGACTGATGATTTTTCTGTGTTTTCAGAAATATGGGGCTGGACTGAGATTTGGACTGTATACATGCAAGGGAAAATGAGGAGATAAGAACCTTTTTAGACTTTTTTTTTTTTAATCTGAGTTTGATTTTGATCACAAAGAAATACTAGACTGCCAAATAGCTGTTGTGGAGTTGTGTTCTTGACCATGTCTGTTCACTGATTTCCATACTCAGAGCCAATCTTGGTGACAGCCTTGTTCCCTTTCTGTTATTTATGGGGCTTAAAGCAACAAAACACGCCTCTTGAATATAAATGGATAGCAATGATTTCTATTTCCTTTTGAAATGCCTTCATTTCCCTTCTATTTCCATTTATATTTATAAACTCCAGAATATCTGACATCTCTGTGTGGGACTAACATGCTTGGCTTAGTATTTTATATACTGGATACAGAGGTATGGAAAGGAGAAAGAAAACATGATTAGTGTGATGGGCAGCCTTTACAATGAAGACCCAGCTCATAATTGGGTGAAAAGATCATCTGCCACTGTTTAGTCATGACAAATCTGTTCCTGCTTCTCTGCATGAAACGGTCTCATTTCAGATAGAATCATATTGGAGAGGCAAGAAAGAAATAGAAAAGAGAATTGCCAGGCAAGGGAGATGAGCTGCCATGGCTGGTGCAAGAGATTTCAGCCTGAGGTCATCAGTGATGAATCCAGCCCAGATCAAATTTTTATCCTCTGTTCAGTATCTTCCATATGAGATGGACTTGGGGTCTTAGTGCATTCCCTTGAGAAGTGGTTTTGAAAGGTTTAACAAGCTGTGGGAGCCTTTCTATCAAATTACTGAATATCTCAAGAGTGTAATTTTGCTCCTGCTAGAGACTTTTTTAGAGTGACTTTAAAAACTCTCTGTCTAAAGCATGTTATTGACTACTCAATATAATAGGTACATTTTAGTGTCACCACCCCTTTAGTCCTTTCTGATTGCTCTTTGGTTTATACTGAAGTTTTCATGTCCAAGTGGGGCAGAGGTGAAAACAGTGCCCTGATCAAGTCAATAGCCAAAACTCCCCTGGCTCCCTGGCAGGGGAATGATGGAGCAAGGAGGAAGAGAGATCTAACATATATAATCAAATAAATACCCATATTTCAAAAACTACATGCAATAATCCTGACTATATGAGTGTCTGAAGACCCCAAGTATATACTCAAAGTAAATTGACATCTGAAAAATACCCTTCCTGCACTCTGATTCTTCATGCAGGTATAGTCTATGAGGAGGATAAATTCAGTGGGGGCTGCTAAGGTCATGATTTTCTACACATGGAACCTGCTTCATTGTGGTCTGGCTTCTTGTATGTTCTCCCTGTGCATTTACAGCTATAATGGGATTTATGAGACAACTGTAAAATATTTCTGAATTTCCCATTAAAAAAGGGTAAATTTAAGAGCAGAGATTTTAATTTTTGTTTTTAAACTTTCAGATCACATCCTCAATATATGTAGGGATTGACTTCAGCCCTTCAGGGCTAGGAATATCTCCAAAATGTAGTGATATCTTCTTCACCCCCAGTGAATACAGTGCAGATCTTTGATGAAAGGAAATTACTTGGCACAGCACATCTTATATATATGCAGAAAGCTAAAACTACAGATATTTAATCTGAGCTGTAGTTTTATTTCAGTTTAGTGAAATCACTGCAGTGGGCTTTAGCTTTGTTGAAATTAGCCTTTTCTTTGTGTGTTACATTAGTCAGCTGGGGCAAGTATAAAATAAGGCTCCAAGAAACTGAAATAACAGACACTTCTACAGTTCAACTACAGTGATTTAAAGCATGATTTAAACTAAAATAGTGCAACTTCTGTCCCCAGACAATTCCTGTGGTGCTGGAATTTCTTGTCTGTTTTTCCCTCCTTCATTTAATAACTGTCATTGGCAGTAGTCCTAGAAGAGATTTTCTCATCATCTGCTTCATTCTCCTGTGTATCCAGGCCCTGTCTCTGTGTTGACTGACATTAGACAAAAAAAATCTGTCAGTCCTCAACGTGGGACTCAACCTGTAAAAATTCAGCCGTCCTGAAGCTTCATGTCTAGCTGAAACTGGTCTTCTAAACGCTGTATAATCAGGGGAGGATATTTGCAAGAGATGATTCATGTCACCTGTTTTAGCTGCCTTAGGATGAGGTGCTGGTCTTTTGCTGTCTGTGTCTGGCCACCTTGGGGAATGACAGAACAAAGCTCGGCTTTTTTTGAGAGGTTACTCCTTTGTATCCGTGCAAGTGGGAAGGAGGGCAGTATAAATCCTTTTATATCAGTTCAGTTTCCGACTCCAGCCTTCCCTGTTGCAGGGTGATCTCCAAAGGACAAACATCCAGCTTGATTTTGGAGATGGCATTGCAGTGTCCTATGCCAATTTCAGCCCCGTGGAGGACGGCATCCGGCACGTGTACAAGAGTGCTGGAATCTTCCAGGTGACGGCGTTTGCAGAGAACAGCCTCGGCTCAGACACTGCTGTCCTGTTCCTGCACGTGGTCTGTGAGTACTTCCACCTGCCAGATTCCTTGGGCCAAAATCTGACGTCACTCCAAGTCCTTGCAGCTTCAGTGGGGCCCAAGAATAGATGCAAACCCACAGACATGTGCAGCTCATGCTCTTCCAAAGGCTTGGGCTTCTAGGCACTCCTCTAACTTGTTAAACAGCTTTTATTGAATGAAGGGAAAGGGAAGGACTTTTTTTAAAACAAGTATATTTGCAGTTCTGAGAGTTATGGAGAAAAGGTTGAAAATGTCTTTTGGGTTTTCTGAAAGGCTCAGAGACCAAGCAGCATATGAAACACAGTCTAGATATCTATTTTCAATACATGTCTCATTCCAAGAGGATTAGATTAAACTACTAAATTTCGAGTCACTTATTCAGAATTTCAGCATTTACAGAGCTAATTTAATGAAAGAGAAGCATTATGCTGAGCGTGCTTCCTGAGATATGAATGTACTGAGGACTAATGTGCTGCTCTTCACATTTCATGTGTTTGACGTGCATCCCTGATGTTTCTGTCCTGTTTGGTAGATCAATGCAATTTCTCTCCAGCTGACACATGAGAAAACTCAAATATAGAGCTCTGAGTTAACTTCCCAAAGCCACAGGAGAGAGCAGAGAGTGTGGAATGTAGGATGAGACCAAAAAGAGCCCAGTTCTTTGATCTACTCTTAGACTATTAAATCTTCTGTGTTCAGCTGCACCCCATCAATTTTGCCCCTAATGGTGATCATAGCCTTGTCTGCCTCCCCTCTTTACCTGTCAGAATGTCTTACATCCTGCCTTTTGCTCGAGCTTTTCTGCTGAAAGGAAGCACATTAGAAATTTCCAAAACTCAAGAACTTTTTCTCCATTTTAATTTCCAGCTCCCTGTATGAAGGAATAAATGTTCCTTGAAGCTTTTATTATGCTCATAATTCCCTCAAAGTCAATCATGGCTGCACTTAACAACCTGTTATTAGAGCATTAACTGTTTTTTCCTCCACCTTGGGCCATTAGCTGACAAAAGTGATGGTTACCTGGTAGTAACAACCAGATTTGTATGGGTTATCTGATTTTTCTCAAAGGAACCACTTTTTCATGGTGAGGATTTTAAAGCACAATGCAACAAGGAACAATTCTTTGGCCTGCTTTTGCTGCTCCACCCTTTTTTACATCAACCTTTCAGATCTCTCCTTTGACTTTTATGGCATTCTTAGGTAGCCAATTTATTATCATTATCTCTGGGGAAATATTTTGCAAGGATTTACATTCATGCTAATGCTGAAATAAGATGACACCTCAGTACTAAACTTTTAATATATTTGGAAGTACTGGTCAATATAGGAGGTTTGACCTTCAAGTCCAAATGTACAGAAAAATATGCCTGAGAATCATTCTTAGTATACAATCACTCTGGTACTAGGATCCTGTGCTAAAAAAAAAGAGAGGAAAAGGCTCCTTGGCCTCAAGCAACATTAATTTTCTACCCTGCAGCTTTATTAGCAGCCAGTTAACTTTTCAGCTTTCTGGAATCTGCTGACAAGCAGCTAAACTAGAAATTTAAAGGAAGCAAAGATATTAGTGCTTTTCTTCTTACATGCACTGTCACAAAATATTTAGGGGAACCTGCTCTTCTTGCAAACCCAAAGTACTTCCTACAGTCAGAGTTCAGGAGTCACTTGCTGATAGAGATCTCTTGGAAAGAGGGGAAAAAACAAAGATCAAATTTTAAGGTGCCAAAAGCAAGAATAGTGTCCTTTTGTGCTTGGAGCTCTATGTTCCAGTGGTAGAAGAACAGCTCTTGCTTTCCACAATCTTTGTAATTCAAGTAGATGGAGAACTGATTAATGTCCCCATTTTGTGCTGAGAGGTAACACAAGAGGATTGTCTCAGTTAAAATCACCAAATTTCCTGCTTCCCAGAATGAATGTCTAACAAAAAAGGAAAAGATTATGACTTTTCTTATTTTGTCCTTTCCATCTCACAGGGATAGTCTGTCAGTTTGCTGTGTTTTAAAGGTACTGCCCAGAAAGTAACACTGTCTGATTGGCAGCAGTTATCAGCTGAAATTCAGCACCAGCAAAACCAAAAGATAAACGAGAAGAAACACAATGGAGATAGTAGAAGCTTTAAACAAACTACCAAACAAAACCTCAGTGTTTTTTACACATGTTGTTTTTTCTAGAGAGGATCTGCCTTCTGAATTCAGGGCTTCATGCCCTGGATTTATTCTGGGCATTTGCATTTATTAGATACAACTTTGCATTGGTACTTTGTTATTTTTTAAGTCTTTCAGAATCAAGTGCTTCTGACAGTTACATGCTTTGTTATGCCTATGCACACATCTTCCAAGTGGTTCCTGATGTTTTTCTTTCAGTTTCAGGGGCAACTGACTCCCCAAAGACTGCCTAAGGTCAGGCCTATATCAAAAAGATACCAAGGATTTCCAAAATCATGAGTTTTTATTTTGGAGATCTTTTAAAAAACTGTTTGGGGTATTTAATCAAGTTATAAATTACTCTTATAAAACCAGATTTAAGCCATTTTGGCTAAAATGATTTTCCCACAAATCTTAGTAGCTCAGTGGCTATATTTTCAAGAAAAAAACTTCTTTCTCATTTGTCCTATCCCTTTCTTGTGTCCTATCCCTTTCTTGTGTCCTACCCTTTTGGCTTTCAATAGCAATTTCACTGCATAATGCAAAACCAGATCATTGTTTTTCTACAAAATGCATTGAAAAAATTCTTCTAAACACAGTGCTGCCACTCTCTGAAAATTAGCACTATGGAAAATGTGCGTAATAGCAGGGGGAAAAGTGTTTTTAAATCTGATTGTCTTTTTCTGTTTTCATTGACTGCTGAAATTCTCTTTTATTTCTAAAATATAAATAGACTGTCACTAGACTGTCACTGCTGACATAGGACTTTTGATTTATTTAGAGGAAAAATCCTTGCTGTTCACAACTGTGCAGGGAGGATTTAACTCAAAGCCTTTAATAATGAACTCTCTTCCCACAGGTCCAGTGGAGCACGTCCATCTGAGTGTTCCCTTTGTTGCCATCAGAAATAAGGATGTCAACATTACTGCAGTAGTTTGGCCCAGCCAGGCAGGCACACTTACCTACTTCTGGTGGTTTGGCAACAGCACCAAGGTACAGACACCCTTTGGTTCATTTTTTCTTCCTGAGCTTGTCACAACAGTCAGGGAACTCTCTCAGCCATAATAAAAACTTCTTGCCTTTGTCTGTTTTGTGTTTTAGTTTTTAACTTGGCTGAAGAGGGTTGTCATTATCTGAACTTCAACCTTTGTGAATTTGTTTCCTTCTGTGTTGTGTTGTTCTTAGGAACCATTACTTTCTCCATCTGGTTGTTATCAGCCCTACTGAGATGTGAAGACCACTGTTATTACCAGCGTTCACTTGTAACTTAACTGAACTATATGTGGAATAATGCTGGCTTTCAACACAGTGTTTAAAAACTGCTGGTGTTCACATAACCAGGGGGTTTCCATTATGTGCCAGTGTGCAGTACATAATGCTGGATTCCAACACAGTACTTTAAAGCTCTTGGTGTTCAGATAAACAGCTGTATCTAGAATTTCAAGCTGAAGAGTCTGGCTATGTTAGAGAGGGGGATGAGACTTCTTTGTAGTGAATTTTCAAATGATGTGTAATGTCACTGTATGTATTATAATGAGCTTTTTCAGCAATAGTTAAAATAAGTGAAAATACAGGTTAGCATCATGCTTTCAAATGGAGAGAGCAGAATTGCCTATTAGCTACAGTTTTTATTGTAGACTTTAGCAGTGAGACAGGCACTGTTCTCCATTCTTACAGCTGTGAAATGTACAGCTGTTAATTTCACAATATAGTTTCTTCTGTTATTTACAAAAGCAGTTTAAGTCATGTCACTGTCTACATTTGCAATTGAAGGTGTGCACTGAGGTGAGATTGCAGCAGAAAGAAATGGGGATTTTACATGAAATATGGAACTTGAGATAAAAAATAGGCACACAAGTATTTTGTTTTCTCTTTGAAAAGCTGCTTAGTTTTAACCTCTTACCCTAGCTGCCAACAATGTCATAGAGGCAAAATAAAAACAGTAAGTGCTGCTTCTACTGGGATTCTACATCCAGTTAGGAAGCTCACTGTAAGAACTCGCTGATTTTTGTGGAAGCATAGTTGAGGCAGTGGAAGAACTCAGGAGCAAAAGCCATGTAACTTGGCAAGTTGCTGTGCCCTAGCTGAACTATGGCAACCACCCACATTTGCACATCCAGTCCATTGCCAGTACCAGGTAATTCCACATAGTTTATACTGCATTGAAATACAAGCATGCACAATCATGTCACAGTTCAGCTATGTTTGGCTCAGTGCTCACACTGAGCCAAACACACAGAGAACCATTAAAGTACATGAAAGATAATTTAGGTATTGATAACTTGATCTGCTTAAGCCCTCCGGTGCAGAGTTTTCCTGCCATTGTTTTTGTCCTTACTATAGAAGTTTATGGTGAACAGGGCCTTAAAAAAGATTTTTTGAAATAGAAAGCAATCTAGAAAAGGTAATGCAAAGCAGTGGTGTTTGCTGAAGATTTCCATGCAGTTCTCACAGTGCTTGCTTCTGGGTTGGAAATATGAACTGTTTCATCTTCTAGTTTAAATCTCAGACCCATAGGCAGCAGAGTACAAGCAGATGTGGATGTGTTTGGGATGGGTACTTTGGACATAGCTGAACATGGAGCTGATCCTTTGACACCTTGGCATGATTGTACTCATTGCTGAAATATGGAACAATAAACATGGTGCCACTTACCTGTATCCGAATCTCAGACCCAGAGCACTGTTCAGTCTTTGCAAGCATTATCTTCAGCTACCTCATGGAATGTACTGCAACTCTGACAGAAGTATAGCAAGAGACATAGAGATAACTGTTTCAGCCACCTTTTTTCAGAACGGCAGTCTGTATCACATCAAAATTCCTCCTGGGATGTTTAATGTACATGTCAGATCCTTCTCTGTGCCCACTCATGAGTAAACTATGGTGTTCTAAGTAGAGGTGAAAGATGGAGACACTGAATTAAAGGATGAGGTGTGTTATAGTGTGACTGGTATTATTAGATGATATGTTTTATATCCATGCTGAGGGATTGCAACTTCTTTTCCTGTTCAGCCTGTAGCCATCCCAGGCAGAACCAGATGTGTCTGTGTCACTGTGCAGTCTCGCTCTCTGTGCTGGGGCACAGGAGGATGTTGTCTTAGGCACAAATGACCTGGCTGAGACTCCTCTACTGCTCTCCCCACCCTGCTGAAACTCCTGTACTAAATTTCTACTGTACTGATTTTTGCAGTATGCCCAAAGACCAATTTGCCTGGATTAACACAGGTCCAGTTTAATAGATGTATCCAGCTGTCTAATAGGTTTGAGCAAATGAACCTTAAACTACTTGATTTAATTTAGAGTTAGTTTCCAGGTCTTGGTTCTTGAATTAAAATTAAGGAGTTGGCTGAATGTTAAAACTCCATGATGGAGGTGAAATCATCCATGATAATGGAATGTCCAGCATACACATATACAAAAAGAAAAAAATGTAATTTTAAAGGCCAGACTGCATCCTCTTATCTGCCTTTGCACAGAACTACAACCTGTAACCTCCAGGAGGATTGCTGATATCCCTGCAGTTTGATAGAGGCCCATTCAGCTTCTCCAGGGTCTGTGTATATCTCAGTAAATGTTAGCTAGGCCTCCAGGGCTGGCACGAGCTGGTGCCCTTGGACTGTGTGTGCCATGTGATAAGACTTTTTGTTTTTTACTGCTTTTCAGCTCATGGATGAGGGGGTCTAAGGAAGGTGGTGTTCTAGAGAGAGAGAGAAATGTGTTTGCCAGTCTGGCCTGTGCAGGTGAAAATTTTGATTTGACTATGAAAATGGTTTTGTGACCACTGTTGTGAAGTGCAGTCAGGCTGGCAGCATGATGAGATAAATGTGAGAGCTGGAAGGTGACATTTGGAAGTTTTCCTTTGAAAATGGAAACTGGAAGTCTAGTGAAGGGACAACAGCAATGGTACAATGGCTTTATCTGCGCTCTTAGACCTCTTAGTATCACTGTTTCCATTTTTGTTGTTTCTCTAAATAAGGAGTTATTTCTGTAGACCAGGTGTCAGATCAGTGGCACTGTGAAGGCTGGACCTTTGATTTTCACTTGTGGTGGGTTGACCCTGTTTAGACACCAGCTGCCCACTAAAGCCACTCTATCACTCCCCTCCTCACATGGGCAGGATACATAAAATATAACAAAATCAGGTCACAGTAATGACAGAGAAACACCACTAATTACTTTTAAAAAACAAAACAGCCTTGACTTTATGATATTACTGCAATTTATTATCAATCAAATCAAAGTAGGATAATGAGAAATTAATCCAAATCTTAAAATACCTTCCCACATCTCTCCTTTTGCCACAGGCTCAATTTCACTCCTGAATTCTCTGCCTCCTCCTTTGCCAGTAGTGCAGGGAGACAGAAAAAGGGGGCTGTGATCAGTTAATCTCATGTTGTCTTTTCCAATGCTTCCTCAGGGGGAAGAGGCCTCCCACTCTTCCCCTGCTTACAGGAGGGAATCCCTCCCATGGGAGACAGTTTTCCATTGATTTCTTCAAAGTGGGCCCTTCTCATGGGCTGCTCCAGGGTGGATCCCTTGCACAGCCACATTCAGTCAGCATTGTCAGCAGGAATTATGCCATGCTTTCAGCCTGGTTAGCATAGCTTGCCAGCTTGTGGCTGCAGCTTGCTCACAGACTCACAGCATGGACAGGGCAATGCTGGATGTGCTCGCTCTGACCTGAGCAGTGTTGCTCTGTGAGAGATAAATGGATTTGTGCTCATAAAAGCAAAGGCTGGCGCTGAATCTGAACAATATGGATTGTTTGAATAAGCATCTGCATCTTTGGTTTATTTTCAATTTGAGGTTGGGTTTTGTACAGCAAATCTAGCAGTTGAGCTGGCTGTGTGTGTACAGTGCTGCATTCTACTGCACTCATTCTGCAACTGCTGACTGTGGTCTGCTGAGGAGTCCATACAATGCAGTTCAATAGAAGAATATTTCAGGAAATGTTTACTGAAATGAGAGAAACCTCTGCCTGTGGGACATTGCTCACAGGATGGTGTTTGGGCCTTAGCAGGATATGCAAACTGGCAGTACCACACCTGTATCAAGGAGCAGGGCCTGGTGGATAAATCAGGTGCATGTTGTAATCCTGAATTAATCTCACCATGATTTTGTCCTTTGTGTTTGCCTCCTCCAGCCCCTCATCACCTTGGAGAGTAGCATCTCGTACACGTTCACTGTGGAGGGGATGAACACGGTCACCGTGCAGGTTGCTGGGGGCAGCAGCCTCATCCAGGACACCAAGGAGATCGCAGTGCATGGTACCCTCAGCCTTCTGCAATCACACCTCAGGGGGTGAAGGGCAGACTGTCATTGCTGATCCAGAATGAGCTCCAGAAACTTGATAGTGCCTGGAGGAACCTCTGATGACAGAGTAGCTCAGATGTGTCATGATGACAAAATCAGAAGTGAATAGAATGGGGCAGCTAACCAAAATTATAACCTCAGCATTAATAAGGTGGCTGGTGTCTCCTGTGCCTGTTGATCTGTTTGTACACCCAGACAGGGAACAGCCAGAAATAAAAAACACTTGAACCAGGCTGCCTTTCTTCATCTTCCCAGCTGTGGAGAGAAATAGTCACAGTGCATGATTAGGGTGATCTGAATGCAACTGGTGTCTCTATCTATATGTACAAATGACAGGGGTCAGGAGGGCTCTGGAGAAGAGGACAGAAATGACTCTGTTGTTGGTATCACTGCCCATCTTTCCTCTCATAGCTGGAGGTCTGAGTGTGCCCACTGGACTTGCCCATGGGTATTGTTATATTCTTGCCATATCTGCATGTCACTGCCTTCCAAAAGCACCCTTAGGCAGACAGCAGAGCTTACCCTCTTTGGGGCTTGATAAATCCTGGGTGAAAGGGCTCTCTAAGCAGCTTTGACCAGGACTTCTACAACAATTTCCACCTTGGCCCAGTCTTTGTTTTCCTTATCTGGGTTTTGGCATTCAGCATTTGAGAACCAGCTTTTGTTTGGACTTCAAGTTTTATTGAGAAACCTGGGTTTCAAATAACTGGGCTACTTTGAAGCTCAGCACTGTGTAGTTGCTCTGTGTGTGTCTTATTTCAGTAATTAAATACAAATAAATGTCCCACTGTATACTCAGATTTAACAGCAGCTAAGTTGATATTTATTGATTGTCTGGCCATGAAATTCAATAGTCTTTAATAATTTGTTAATGTGATTTAGTAATAATTTGACTTGCTGTTATCAAATATTAGGAACCTTCTACTCCATAATTTTGAGCACTGTAAAATGCAGTGTTTACTTCTTGGAAATGTCCATCCTTTCACTAGTTTCTGGAATAAACCTGAATCAAATATGTTTGAGAGTGATACCCACAGGTGATCTTGATCTTTAGCCCCAGTAGGTCCCACAGAGAGCTCCTCACTCTGTTTTTAAACACCTTGGAAGAAATTTTGCCATTCTGTTTAGAAGATCCAGAGTTTTGGGTTCTATTACAAAACAATTAACCCACTTGGATCCAGTCCAAATAATCCTATCCAGTGCTGTGCTGCAGACTGACCTGGTCTAAGGAAGGAGTCCTTCCAGCCCTTCAGTCTGGTGATGAGTTCAAGTCTGAATACATATACAAGTGATGCCTTTAGCAAACATGTCCTCTGATAAACTTGTATCCTCATCTGTGTCCTAGTAAAGTGATCATGGGTCCAGGCCATAATCTAGGCTCTGGTGTTATCAGTGGAGGAGATTTATTCAGGTATATCCTTAATTTGAGATTAACAGAAAAGAATTTGCTCAAAAAATAAAGTGGACATGGTGCTAAGGGGTCAAAAGTGAAAGACTTGATATATCTGACTTTGGGTTAAACCTTCAGAACCTCAGAGACTTTCCCTGTCCTCTTTGATACTTGTTTTATTTAAAAATGTATTGCACCATCTAAAAAGAAAGAACAGTTCTTACAAAAGATGCCGCATAAATGGTGTGCTGGCACATCCCTGCTTTTCTGTGGATTTCCTCATTTCTACTCTGGCAGGTTTATCTTGATCTAAAACTAGTGCCTTCTTCCAAATGATTAATGGTACTTATTTGAAGTGTCTGAGATCAGTTGCTTCAAGGTGAGGCACAGAACATCTCCAAAATCAGAAAGGAGAATCATGTACTCTGAGAACTTTCTTAAGAGTGTGGTTCCCATCCTGGATGTTTGCCTCCCACTGGCCCAAATCCCCTGTACACCGCTGCCATAAGTACTCCAGATTTGGTCTTTAGTGAAACCAGTAGGGAGAGTTGGAATTGGAGAAAAATTAAAATCTGTATTTTAAGTCTAGGAAGCTTTTCTTCCTCCCAGCAATCATTCAATCAGGACAGAACTTCACAGTGTTTTGTCAATAGCCATTGCTTGATGAGCCAGTCATTACCACCACTAGATTCTCCTTTCTTGGGGAATTAACCACTCCTGGTTTCCCTCCAGGAGGGTAAACAGAAAACATAACTTGCAGCAATTGTTCACTCTGCAATTGTACAGACAGGCCTTCCAAATTTCAGCCAGGTGCTGCCTTATTTGCTGATCTACCTTTTTACCTTTTTGTGAGCAGAATCTGAAGAAGTTGAGTGGCAAAATTACAAAGCCCAGAGGCTTCATGAGGGATCCTCTCACCTCTCTCATTCTCACTTCTGTTTCTCTGGGGAAAGCCAGAAATTGGCAACAGATCAAAACATCCTTTATAAGTACCACTATAAGCATTCTTTCCTTGAGAGCTCTCTGTCCTGCTTAGTGTTAGCCAGCCTTTTTCTTCCTTCAGCCTTTTCTCGCTCTCTTGCTTTAAGATAGTTATGGTCCTCCTGTTGTCTTCTGCACCCTTGTCTGTACCCTAAACACTGCCCATTTAACCTTCTCCTAAATACTTTTTCTATTCCAGAGTACTTCCAATCTCAGCTCCTGTCATTTTCTCCCAACTTGGATTACCATAACCCTGACATCCCTGAATGGAGACAAGATGTTGGCAAAGTCATCAAGAGAGCATTAGCACAGGTGAGCATCTGTTTCCTTGTCTGTACTAACATTGACTAGGCTGTTAAAATATGCACTTTTTTGACATGCTAGCTTAAAATAATGGGTAAGCACAGCAGTGATGGCACTGTCATTAAAAATCAATAAAAAGCTTCTTAATATGCTGGATCCTTTTACAGAGCCAATCTGTATTGCTGATTTTGTGGAAATATTACAATTTCTTTTATGAATATTTCTGTGTGCTTTTCAGCTTTTAATATCTCTGAGGATTTTGCAAATTCTAGATTGTAATACTATAATCATTATCCTTATTTTTCCAAGTTGATATGACAGTATGTACTGTCTTCTATTCCAAACATTTGGTTAGTGCTAGTGAGTGTTGTTAAACAGCTGATCCACTTCATCCCAGAAGACAGACATTGTAGTATTCTGGATACATGAGGAAGATATTTTTATCTTTTCCTGATAGTCAGGAGTTTCACATGCAGTTAAGTGTAGCAACTGGTGAACATTTTGAAGCTCTACTCACTTTCCAACTGGGGCAAAAAATGAGGATTCAAAAGGAAAATAAACTTACCTATAAAATACAGGATAAAGAGAAACTTCTGTAGTTAGAAGGTACTGTATCTTCCTTTGGGATTAATTAGAATATGTAAACTAGTACTCATGTTCTTTCAGGAAAGGGGACAGAATAACTTATGATATCAAATAGTCAGGGACTTTAGTTTTGTGTGAAATTAGGGGCTAGATTTAGACAAGCTTTTGAGGGTTTGGCATTCTGTCAAAAATGTATTTCATTGGGGTTTTTTTGCTTTAGCTACAGCTGTTAGAAATGGAGGCTGATTATTTTTACTGGGAAAGTACATTCCTGCTCAGCTTTTCTCATCTGCAGCCCACTCAAAATTCACAGGTTGTAAGAGTTTCCTTGGTTGTTTTTCCATCCTGAAAAAATGCTCAGTTTATTTTTTGTAAATTGTTCTTCCCTTTTACTTTAGTAAAAGAGTCAAGCTTTCAGGATTAAAAAAAAATAATTAGCTTGTAACTGTGAATGGTTACAGAAAATAGAAGTGTGGTAGAAGTGTTTGCTTGTGTACCCCACCAGGAATGGGCTGCCCCATTGGGACATTTCAGCTCTGCAGTGAGGCCATGGGGTTTGAGGTGGGACAGGACCAGAGAGCTAATGGAGCTAATGAACCTCAGGTAGCAGAGCATTTCTGAGGGAAGGAGGATTCCTGCCCTGCTGAGGATGCATGGCTGGGGTTTGGGAAGAGGGGGGAGCAGCCTCAGTGGGTAGCTCTTGCTAAGGCAGCTCTGCAAAGTGAGCAGCTCCCAGAATAGCCCTCCTGGTCAGCCCCAGGAGTGAATTCTCTCTCTGGGGACATTGCTGTTCGTGTATGGCCAACGTGGATCCCTGTAACCTCATAGCAGAGGTGATTGCAGGCACTTTCCTTCATATTGTCCCTGTTAGCTGCACATTTACCAGTGGTTGCTCTGAGGCAAACTCTCTGGATCTGACTTTGGGTCAGTTATTCTTTTGTAGCAAGGAGGACTGTGTGGAACATTCAGATCTGGAGACATGCTAGGTTTGGACTTTGGGTTGAGATCTTTGGGCCCAGGGGTGTTGTTAAGTTTACATTCACTTCTAGAAAGGAAGTAGAGTGCACCTTTAGCAGAAGCTCAGTTTCTGACCCACCAAACAGGCAGAACAGCTCATTAGGAGCACAACACCTGCAGTGGAACTGGAAAAAAACAATTTGATGGGAACACCATTTCTGAAAGTCAGTGGAAACATAAGTAACAAAATAGCAGCTAGAGACCTCTTTTTACTTTCTTCTAGGTGACTGGTATTCCTGATGAACAGATCCTGGTAGCTCTGTTCCCTGGGCTGCCTACTTCTGCTGAACTCTTCATACTGCCCCACAAAAACGCAACAGAGAGGAGGAAAAGCAGTGAGGCTGATCTGGAGCAAGTAAGGAGAGAAGGATTCATGGAACATTTATTCCTGTCGTATTGTTTGCAGATGGGCCCCTGAAGCTGCGCAGCACTGGAAGTACTTACAATAAGTGTGGTGGAAATGGATGTATCTGGGACTGTGGCAGCATAGTTTATGGCATTAAAGAAAATGATTTTCAGAGGAAAGCCAGGATTTTCCAATACCTCACTGAGATATGTCACAGTCTACCACTAGCAGAGATTCTTCCTAAATCAGTGGAGTGTCCTTTTTACCGTAGTTATGGCCAAAGGAACCTTGAATATGTACTCCCTCTGCTCCCTGGAGGAATGCTAATAAAGGGAGGCCAAAGCAGCAAGACAATATACTGAGGTTTACTAAAAATAAATCAGACACTTCAGCTCATAGATCACCACAACAAGACCTCTTTTTTTTCTTCTGCAGCACTGAACTGCCTGTGCAAACTATATTTGGAAGTTACAATATCCATCCATTTAGATAAATAGGTAATTACAGTGATGTATTGCAACAGTGATATGCAGGCAAGGAAAGAACAACAGCACTAGGCTGCTGGAGCTCTCATGTTAGAATTACCAAGTGATTAAATCAGCTCTATAAAGGCAAAGGAGTGAAGTACTGCTAGAAAGGCTGCTTGGCTCTAGCTAATGTTCTTGTGTGCAGTATTTTTACAGTGTGCAAACTATGTGTGAGCCCATTGTCAAGTAACTCTTGTAAGTTTGGATCAAACATTAAATTATTCTGAGGACTGGTGAATTTAGTGGAAGTTCTTGTCACCCACCAAGTAAAGTCAGTCCCCACAGAGTAGTTCCTTTGTCCTAGGAAGTCATCAAAGCTGGTCTCTTAAATTTATGGTGGTCAATGTGCAGGAAAGATGCATTGATGTGGGAAAGTTTGAAAGGCTTTTTGGAGGGATGGTCTAGGAGTAATTTCTGTCTTGTCCAGTAGGGTCTACAGTTATTAAAACTTCTTCTGCACAAGCTGTTGTGTCAATATTTCATGTATCAGTGTTATGCTGACATCTCAATTAGCTTTCTGACTAATTGACTATGAGACCTAAAGCTCCAGTGCTCTAATTTTAGTTTACAGGCTACTCAGTTGTACTTTGGCACTTGTTGTTGCCTTCTGCTTGAGGAGCTCTGCCTGGAGAGTAGGTCATTAGAGCTACTCATTAGCTGTGCCCTGTCCATCACAGCTACTCTGTGGAGACCAGGCATTAACAAACTGGGACTCTGGGGTGATGGGCTGAGTATGTGCTCTGGGGCAACCAAATAACACATCACAGCTGGGTTGCTGATCTCCCAGTGCAGCAATTCCAGTATATCCAGTCCAAAGCCCCTTTTCTAAGTGAAGGACAAATATGGCAAATTTTCCATTGACCTAAACTGGATTGTCTCATCCCCAATAGCCTGTTTAAATAGAAGCTTCATGACAGAATCATTGGGAAGAAGGAAATGTAGGTCTGGACTGCTTATTTAGTTTCACTATCCACCAATGAAACACCAATATGTCAGTGATTTCCAAATGCATTTGATTGAACTCAAAGGATATTGTGGAAGGTGAAAAGGTCCTTAGTTATTTTCCATCTTCCCATAGACCCCCAAAACACACACAAAAAAAAAGGGGCTAACCTTCTAGGTTTGCTTCCCAAGAGAGATGTAATATACAATGAGAGTCTGAGAAGTTCTGTAAGGGAGATTTCCATGCAATGACACCCAGCTCCACCCAAAGCACACAAAGTGCATTTCTCTCCACTTCCTCAGGCCCTCCTGAAGCCAGTAAGAGATGTCAGCCACTACTCATGGCCTTCGTGTATTCCTGAATGTTCTCCAGACTTTGCAGTCTTCTATACTTTAACTGTTGTGTCTCTTCTTATTTTGTCAGGTGGTGGAAATCCTTTTTAATGCTCTCAACCAGAACCTGGTCCAGTTTGAACTGAAGCCTGGAGTTGAAGTGGTTGTGTATGTCACTCAGTTAACATTAGGTGAGTGTGGAGTCAAAGGCACAGCTGTGGCTCTCCTGAGGCTTCAGACAACTCCAGGAGAATCAGCCTACATCAGAGCACTCACAGTCTGGCATGTGGCATTGGGCTACGTGCCAATTGAGACATTTTGGTAGAAGCAGGAAGTGTTAAAACCAGCCCATCAGGGGCATCTTCATGCTCCAGTTTGTACAAGTATAAAAGGTACCTTGTAAGAGTTCCCCGTGGCTTAATTAACAAGTGCACTGGTGTTTTTTAAGTGTTTTAGAAAACCAGGTGAATGGTGTTCTATTAAGTCCTTATTGAGCACCTGTGGAATTCAGTGGGATATTACTAACTTTCATGGATGTTGGATGAAATCCTTATAGCAAAGTGCTTTTTACTGGTATGACTAGCTAGGAGGCTTTAGAGGGGCAAAGCACTCAGGAATAGATTGAGGCCTCTTACAGGAAATAAGTTCCTGAAATTTGACTTCCAAAAATTAGAATTTACTTAAATTTCAGTGCTACCAATCTCCATTTTTGCACAACGTAACAAACAGTCCACTTAAGCTTTGTCAATCCCTTTACTTTAAAACCAGCCTAGTGTGAAGGTCTCAGCTATTGATGAAGCAGTGATGGTTACAAAGAAGGTGATGGATTTATTTTTGCCCTTACTTTTTATGACTATCCTTGCAATTGTCTGAAATGTGGGATCTTGTGCAAGTGCCCTTGCTGATAGCCTCTGTGAAAGACTGGTATTCATACTCCACAATAACTCACTTCAGTTTCTTCTCAGAGAGCGAAGAGCTGGGCTAAATCAAGGCTCATGACCTTTCCTACATGTAAGGTCACTTTCTACCTTCACTCTCTGACTACTCCTTTGGAATGTGAGTCAGATGCTAATAGGAGTAGCCTGAAATGGATTAATTTGCAAAACTGGGAATGTGATACAATGTCTGAGGTCTCCAGGTGGCTGGAATTCTCAAGAACCTGGCTTGGTTCTAGCAAGGCACTACATTTAAATTACATTTGTAGGTATTCTTTCCCCCTCTCCAGTGCAGGTGCTGCATTTGTTTCATGACCATTTCCATAATATTTTGACTTGGATGAAGTGACAGTCTTTCTCACAAAAGAGTTAGAAGTATTAGCAGCAGAATACTGGCAGGATCAGACTGTTAGGTGTGGAAATTTGACAGTGAAATCAGAACTGGCTCTATTTGCATGACTTTGTCCCTATCTTCAGGGTGATGGAAAAAGAATAGAGAGTAGTAAACCACCAAAGCCAAATATTTATGCAAAATGAGTAACACTCAGCTGCTACTTATAATCATTTGTGCATCATTAGAGACTTCTCATCAGACACTTGATCTCAGCACAGTGCTCAGGCCATTAAGATGGTGTGCTCTGATGAGCTCTTGGAATAGCTGCATAAACAAGGTATAGGAATATACTGTATTTAGCCAGCCAAAATGTCAAGGATCAAATTCTCCAAACTACATAATGTATTGTGTGATTGAATTCAGGATTATTGCTTTGGGCTCCTCCACATTATGAAACTGACTCAATTTAAAAGTCTCTAAGGTCCTGTACAATGATGGACCTTGAGGCTTGTCACAAGAGTAGATCCCTGTCACATGTGATGTAGATGAATATCCTTGGAAGATGAGAGTTGTGCTGTTATGCTGTTCAGTGATGCTCTAAGGTATCTTCTCTGAAGGGGAATAGATGTGTATTAAGCCATGCTTCATAAAATTCATTTCCACTCTAGTACCTGGAAAAACCTGAAAAGTAATAGCCCAGAGTGTTAATACAGGAGTGATTGGGCATTCACCTGAGCGTGGCTTGCTGTGCCTTTTCACCCAGGGATGTTAGACTGCCCTGTCTTGAAAAAGGGCCTTGACTTCTGAAGGACAAGAGAACCAATTTGTTTCCTACTGATTGGTCTTGCCAAAACCAGCATGCACCATGCAGTAGTGGTAAAGCAGATGTGACAAAGACAGAGTTGAGCTCAGCTCTTGATACTTAATGTGTTTCCTTGTAATATCCCTCGAGTGTGATGCTTTGCCTTTCCTCCTGCAGCACCACTTGTGGATTCCAGCTCGGGGCACAGCAGTTCAGCGATGCTGATGTTATTGTCAGTGGTCTTTGTGGGCTTGGCTGTTTTTTTAATCTACAAATTCAAGAGGTAAGTTGGAAAACTTTGGGATGGGAGGAAGAGACTCTGGGTGTTTTACAGGAAATCTGTGCAGAGCTGTGCCTGCATTGCAAATGAGGAGTGAACTGTGCTGGGCATCAGGCTTTGATGAATATAGCTCCCTATTTCTGATACTTAGAGAGGAAACCATCTACTGCTGTTTCACCACAAAGCTGGTGCCCCAAAACTTCACCAAGAGCTCAGAAATCATCTTCTGCTTCAGCAGATGTATTTAAACCACAGACCAGAAATGGGAACCTTTGTGCTCACTGAGATACACAAAGCAAGCTTAGTCAAAAACCACATGATGGATGACTCCACACAGTCTATACCCACCTGCCCAGCTGCCTTAGTGCAGCAGCATCTCATTTGTATATTTTAAAGTGAATAGGTTAATCTTGCAGAGGAACAGGTGTGTTTATGTTAAAGGTGGGAGACTCAAAGCCAGAAAAATTTGTGTAAAGCACAAAAATGCCTTTGGGAATGTGTGCTGAGATTTACCTTGACAGATGTTAATATAAACCTTTTGCTTCCAGGCAGCAGGCAGGACCAGGTCTGGCCCGTGGCACTTGGCTGCTGCAAGCTGTGAAGCAAAATATCTGATAAGAATGGCCTGCTTGCTGAAGGCCTGCTTTATGAAGATATATTTTAGGCAGATGGAGCTCCTTAGGAGGAACTTTGCAATCAGTACAGTACTTACAGTATAAAATGGTTTGTGTGCCTAGACCTTGACCAGTGGCAAAGTATTGTGTTAGAAACATATGCCAAGTCTGGCTTAAAATTAAATAAATAAAACTTTCTGGACACAGTAGTTCCTTTAAATGAAAAACTAGAGCTTTTCCTGTTCAGATTCCAACTAAATGTTGCTTTCTCCAGCTTTTCTACTCCCCAGCATAAGGCTAGTATTCTCTAAGGATGTTAGTGGGATGCGAACAATATTCAAAATTAAATTATATGATAAAACAGGCATCCATCCTAATCTCCAGGGTTAAAGTTTCCCTCCTTGCCAACATCTTGCATTAACCATTGTCCTAATCAGTGAGTGGCACTCCTTGTAGTGCTTGATCCTGTGCACACTGCTGTTATCAAGCTCCCACTGATTTCAGTGGCCCAGGACAATTTCCAGGGAAAGCATTTGTGTGACTCTGCTCAGAGGCAGATTTCGAGGCCTTCAGCACAACCCCCTTTTGCAGCCTGAAGTCCCCTCTCTCCTTCTGAGAGCTGACTACAGCTTCCCAGGAGAATGTGATTTGTTTAAGGCACTGATTTAATAGTGTGCTGGGGAGGCAGCTGATGATTACTCTCACACCCAGATGCAGGATGAGGAAGGCAAAATCTTCCTGGGAGATGTGACAAGCTGTTGGCACAGCCCTGAGTAAGATATGCTTTGCCTTGTGCCTTGGTGAGATGGTTTCCTAGGTCTGGCCTGATGTCCTTGGCCCTGTGGTCAGCAGTTACCACTGCTGTGGTTACCAGTAGCAGTTGAAGAAGGGTCTTTATATTCCAGCTGCCAGAGAACAGTGAGAGCTTGTTAATGCATTTTGCTCTGGCATTCTCTGGGTCATTTTCTGCTACTACAGCTCATAAAACTGACTCTTGTACTACTTAAGCACCCTGAGCTTTGAGTATAGCAGCCATCAGCCTTCTATTATGCTCTAGGGCTATGGAGACCCTGCCTTGTTAAAATCTGTCTGAAAGTTGGTTATATGACAAATTGGGAGTAAAGAGGAAGGTGGTCAAAGCATCAGTTTTGCTTAGTCCAAAAGCTTATTTATTAACTGGCTGTCTCCTCTTATCTCTCTGTCCCAAAGGGGAAAAACACAGATCAAATTGACAAAGTTTAGGATAAGTCATATACACAGAGTGTTCTCAACTTAATTTTTCAGAAAAGAAAGCAACTTTTCAGCTCTGTCTGAAACCCCTGGCTCAGTGGAGCAGAAGTGAAAGCATACAATGATTCCTAATGGAAAAAGGGGAGCAAACCCAAAAGCTTTCCTGTGGCTCTGAGTGATGCAGAAGTCCATTAGCCACATGTACCTCTTTGATTAATGGTTGTCCCAGCCTGAATACAGAACTTCTGCTTACAGGGAAAGGTTATGGGAGAACATAGGCTGACATGATTTTTTAATTCTACAAATTCATAGATTTGGTGCTTTGCTGGTTTGCACACAGACTCCTTATTACCAGTCCATCAATTTATAGACTCAGCAGGCATGTTAAACACTGCTGCCAGAGAGATGCTTATTGAGGAGATCCCAGTGGAAAAGGAAGGAAGAAGGGAAAAGTATGGAAATAATCTGTAAAAATGTTGTTTCTTTTCTGGAAGATTGAGCATATATCAGTTAATAGTGTGTGTGTATGAGTGCTGAGCAGTGGTGGGGCTGTGGGGCAGTCCAAGTGTGTGTCCTGGGACAGCAGGGCACAACTGTGTGCTTGTGTGTGCTCAGAGTGATGTGCTTGTGTCTGTGTCTGTGCTGGCAGGCACAGCAGGATTAGAATTTGGGTATGCATTCATATATGTACAGGGATCTCACTTTCTTTTCTCCCCAACTCTCTGAAGTACCTTGGCTCTCTGCCTCACTATTCTAAAGACCTTTTCTCACCTTTCCACACGAAGTTCAGAGATGATCACTGCTCTGCTATTGCACTGTTTGGAAGTAGAACTAAATCTCCCACTATCTCCAGGCATGTTCTCCTGTCTCTATACATCTCCAGACAAGTTCTGGGCACTTGGATCCTATGGGAATGCATTAGTTCTCACTCATTTCCTGTGGAGTTCCTATGTCTTCTGGTGGCATTTATGGCATAAACATTAGAAGGTAGGAGAAAGGGAGAAGATCATGAGATTTATCATCTGCTGCTAAACATCCCAAATATGTCCTGGCTTGATGCTTGTTAAGAACAGAATGCTAAATCAAGCCAATAGCACAAGATGGTTGAGGCCAGAACTTCACTGGAGTAAAATCAGCATAGATTCCATTGAATTCGTGAGAGCTGAGGCAATTTCCACTGTTTTTAGTCTCTGACGTATCCAACAGCCCATAGATCAGCATAAAGATATGGAATTTTATATTACTTCTTTTGAACACGTTTTCTTTCTCTCTCACTCCTATGTGCTTTAAGGAACTCAAAATATTCTCCAAATTTCCCTTTTTGGAGCAGTGTGAACTGCATGGCATGAAGACTTTTTAAGAGCATTAGGAAAAACAGTCAACTTCCAACAGGCAATGCAGATAATCCTGGCAAACTCCAAGATGCTTAACACATTCCTTTTAAGCTCTCTCATTTAAACTTGCATTCCTTCAGGGATTACTACCTGTCTGTCTAGGCCTGTATAATCTATCTACCTGACTGACTCTCAAGGATATCATTCTAGCAGACCAAGGAAACTTTGGGAGAAGGAGGAAGAAATAATCCCTTCACTTCCTTGGCTTCCTGAGCAGCAAGGAAAAATAAGTCCCTACAAACTTGCATGATCCATAGCATGGCAAACTGGTTTTTGCAAGGGAATGGTAACAAATAGACTTTGGATGGGTGTTATGAGGTCCAAATCCTTCCTGACTCTGAGGCAGGAGCAATTCTTTATAACTCGTTCAGATGTGGCAATTTCTTCTGAGTCAGTGTGGGCCTGTCAGCAGCAACAAGCCCAGCACTTTTTTTGCTCAGTTGATACTAGTGCCAAATTGATTTTTACTTTTGGTTTCTAATGCAACCCTGATCATATAATAAATACTGAGAGAGTTGACAATTGCAGCTGATTTTACTTAGTTAATTGCTGCTGTCTGAGCTGAGTGCAGTGTCCACTGTGTGCATGATTTTTCATTTTAAAGGGCACAACATTGAAGTTTGCAGCTGAGGGAGACTTTGTGCCCATGATGTGAAAACAATGGCCTGAGATTTGGAGTACCTTTGGCTGCTATTGGAATTAGTGGATGCTAAGGGCACTTTCAGAGATGAACCTCTGTGTGGTACTTTCAGAGAGCTCATACTTCGCATCACTGCCAGTGTTGCATTTCTGGGATGGTCTCAGCTTAGTTTGTCTCATTAATAAATGACATGCTCAGGATCCCTGTGTTACAAACCACAACCTCTCATTTTCCTTTCCTGTGCAGGAAAATCCCTTGGATTAACATCTATGCCCAAGTTCAGCATGACAAGGAGCAGGAAATGATTGGCTCTGTCAGCCAAAGTGAAAATGCCCCCAAAATCACCCTGAGTGAGTTCACAGACCCTGAGGAGCTGATGGACAAAGAGCTGGACACACGAGTGATGGGTGAGAGACAACCCTCAGCTGCATTCTGTTCCACAGTCTGGGTGAAGATTTTGGTGTTTTGGGTATTAGGAGAGGAAGTGCCTGTGACCCTGGGTACAGGTGGAGCCCTGAGGCACAGGATAGGGAGTAAAGCTCTCTCAGCAGCATGATAATGGAGTTTCTCTTATAGATTTTCAGCTTTTCCCAGGGTAGGAACCTGTAGTAGGTAGGCTCCAGCAGTAGGTATAAAGAAGTTAGTAATGGCTGTGCTCACACCTATTCCTGCTCATGACCCTGGCTCTCTTGTGGATGAGTGCCAAATTCCCTGCACCCTCAGAAGAACCAGCTGAGCCAGGCTCTCATTGTTGGTGTGCTGTGATTACAAGCAAATATGTCCCTAATAGCTTAATGAGTTTACTGCTGGTCAGCTGAGCTGTAGTAATTGAGTTTTCTGCATGCTCCCTGCTTATTGCAAATACATAAAAGAATGTGAATCTTTTCTGTCTTTACACTTACACTACCACATCCTAAAGAGTGAGAAGCAATATAGACCAAACTGTTGAAGCCACTGCACTGATTCTCTTCTCCATTTTCTCCTCCACAGGAAGCATCTCAACAATTGCCAACAGTGAAAGCACAAAGGAAATCCCCAACTGCACTAGTGTTTAATACTGAGAATCCACTTGGTCTACAGCATTTCTGAATTTTTATTTGTAATTATTATTGTTATAATTATTATTATTATTATGAAAAAAGAAAGAGTTATATGTCATTATTATCATTTGGGAGGGAATGGGGTGGGCTTTTTGTGTTTACCAGGGCTGCATTCATAAATAGCAGAGGTTCTTCATATTTAGGGAATACACATCAGATTAGAAATAAAAAGCAAAGAATGAGTCAAGTGTGCAATGAGATTTGAATGCCAGCTTCCTGTTACATACAGAATGGGAATTAAGTATTCAAATCCAACAGATAATTGTCGTACCTTAGGCAACATGTTGTAAGTAAATTGTCCCTTTTCAGCCTTTTCAGAATAAGTCATGAATCAGCTGCTTCATCCTGCCAGAGGGTACAGACTGGGTTGTTGGACCAGACTCTGCAACATGCCAACATCCCTCGCTTCCCAGTGACATGCATGTCTCAGCTTTTTGCAGGATCTTGCCTCTTTTAATTGCTTTTAATTTCAGTTACCCTCTGGCACCGGTGACTGCTGAGAAAGGAAAAGACCAAATCAGAGCAAGCCCACACGTCAGTGCTCCTTGGACCATGAACTGGCTGGAGGGGACAGCACCACAAGCAGAGGAGGAGCGAGCCTGAGTTTATGAATGCAGCCCGACCCCTGTGCATGTGAATAGCAAGGATGCCGAAGGCCTACTGTAGATAATTACAATGTACATAGCTTTTTATTTCTTGGGAAATAATTTAATGTTTAGTAAAAGAAGATATGTTTAAAAGAAAACCTGAACCACACACACACACATGCACGCCCACGTGCACACACACACCACGTACAGCCAAACAGGGACCCTGGTGAGCACTTGAGTCACACTTTGGTTCCAAGTGTGTTCCAGTTGTCTGTCATATTTCAATCTGACACTGCTCTCTATAAAGAGAGTAGTTTATTTCTCTATGTATAACTGCAAGCCTTTTTTTACATATATGTATATATATATTGTGTCATTTCCTGTGATGGAGCAGAAAAAGATATTAGCAGCCAGATTATGAGCCTGTCATAAATATTTTAATGATGTTTATCATCTGTTCATCCTTGTCACTGTTGCCCACTTCTGAGAATGGTCTTAGTGGCACCTGTTAGTAAAAATGAGGAAAAGAATCCTGAAATATTATCTCCATCTCTGTTTAGGTAAATATCAGTGGCCTTGCCATACCCAGCACAACCTCAGCTCAGCAGTGGGGCAGGTTGCAGTACCTTTATTCCCAGGGGGAAGTCATGCTTTTTGCAGTTCAGCTGATGAAGTGAAGTGCCATTTAGGATGTGTAAGAGTAGTAAATTTTGGCTGAACACGGTGCATGCGATTAGGGACTGCTCTTTGGAGAGGGCAGGGGAGGGTCAGACCTGCATTAATGTGAAAGCTGTGAAAGCTTCTTGTGAGTGCTGCAGAATGGCAGCTCCCAGCTCAGAGTGGAGATTTCTGCATGGTGGGTTGGTGTTTTCTGGTCAGAACAGGGAGGTTTCTTCTTTTAATGAAGAAAAGGTATTGAAAAAGCTCTTTAGAAATTTTTTACTACACTGAACTGAGGATATCCCTATGAAGAGGTGGAGTTTTGGGGCAAGAGGTTGACTTAGTGGTGAGTTACTTTTTATCCATTTTTCTTGAGTTGATGATGCTAAAAATGAACGTTATTCTGCAGAGTATTGACTTGTAGGACCCAGCAGAAAAGAAAGGAAGATTTGGGGCACATCTGGGAAGATGTTCTAGTCTTTGTGTGGTAACAGGAGGCAGAAATGATGGCAGATGACAATGTTTGTTATCATTTCTAGGATCTGGGTACAGAACTTCAATCACCTTGAATACACCTGGGCTGAAATGAGGAGATGGCTGGAATTTGGGTGTTACTTGCTATCTCTCTGCATTGCAACAGGCCACTTGGCTACAAACCAGCCTCAGCCACGTGTTCACTCTGTTAGTGGGCTGGAATGGCTTTCAAAGGTTAAAATCCTGGTGGCTCTGCAGGTGGAGAGAAAAGTGGTTAAACACAATTTTGCAAAACTCAGGAAGTGTTTCAAGATTAAAATTGTAAACCTAAAAATAAGGAAAAACTGTTTCTTGAGAAGTACTAAAACTAAATATTCTCAGTTCTTGCAGTCAGATTTGTGGATTTTTTTTTCTGTTTATTTAAAAATATCTCTCTTCTGTTTTCCCCCTCATTTTCCTGCTCTAGTTTCTAATGCAAGGTGAAGAGCAATGGCTGTGTTATTCTGTTTAACCTTGGTTTCCATCCATCACAAGTGCATAAACTGTTGCATTACTGTCTCTGTTCTACTGAAACTCCTCAGTAGTTTACAGTAATGGCCCAGTCTGGTGATAAGTGTTAGCACAAAGCCATAGCTTCCCATTCAGGTGGAGGTGGGAGGGATGTACATAAACAATGGTCCCATGGGCTTTGAGCTGAAGTGTGGGCTGATCTCAGTCTTTGCTGATCATTAGGATTTGAAGTATTGCTGTGGTGAGCTGCTGTAGAGGACTGAATGTAAAATACTCAATATTTTCTGTATTAACTTTTTCCTTTATAAACCATGAGGCAAAATTATGATTTTCATTGTTGTTTGGAATTTTATAGGTTTTTCATGGGCTTCATCTCATGCTGTTTTAACAAGAAAGGCAGGGGATTACAGTTTTCACAAATTTTTCTTAATTTCTTTTCACTTTTTTTTACATTTTATTCCTTTACACTTTTAAAAATTGCTGTTAAATGTCTCAATTGGGAGAAGGTAAGAAGGAAAAATTGGGAGTAAGCTGGTGAGAAAATGGAAAAAAAATTCACTTCTCAAAAAGAAATTTAATCTCAGTGAAGGCTGAGAAATTTCCGAATGACAGTTTTGGAGAAACATCTGTCTAGAAAGTAATTTTCCATCCAAAATGATCCTAAAGTATCCTACAAAGCAAACACAAAAAATCCATGAAGCCAAAACTGCATGTCAGAAAAGCCTGACTGATTCTTATGTTTGCCCAAACTTCCTTTTCCACAGGACCTGGTGGGTGACCCTGCCTCCCAGTGCAGTTTGTCACACCTGTCAGCACCAGGCTGTGGGCTCCAGGTGCATCCCCAGGGTGTGCATGCACCACATTTACCAGGTCACTCCTGCTCCGTTAGGGCACAGTCACGGCCGATGGCAGCTGGAGAAAGCTTGGGTTCACCACTGAAATCTGCTCCTTTAGAGTCCAAGAAGGATCATTGCTGCATTCCTGCCTGTCCATGGGACCTGTGTAAGGCTTGGGCTGGGCAGCCAGCCCTCTTCACCAGTTTGGAAGTACTGAGCTGCAGTGTCAGCACAGGCTGGAGTATTGGCCACTTTTATTTGGCTTGCTGGGAAATAACAACTTGGGGTTGTCATCAGGGTTTTTATTTCCCTGCAGGTTTTACCCCTGAGGGAAATATAGTGGAAATCCTTGAAGCTGTAGATTATTATTTACCTGAGTAATGAGGGAAATAGGCAATGGCATCAATGGAACATGAATAGCTCCCACACTGTAATTATGTAAAAAGAGGAAATGAAAGAGAGAGAGGCAGAGAGCAAGAGACTGGGTCAGTGCCCTCTGTCACTGCCAGCCTTTCCCCCATGATGGATTAGCTGTAATTTAGGAATAATGCATGAGATCTGGAGACTAGATGCAGCTTCTGGTTCTGTGTGGCTGACAGTCTGATATAAACCATGAACCTTTGTTTAGTTTAACCAGTACTCAAGAGCCCTAACCCTAAACCTGGCAGGATCAGAGGTGAGACCAGAGTGACAGGGGGCTACAGAGTGTTTCAGACACAGTTGCCATCAATGAGAGCATGTGTAGGAAGTGTGCATTTTCTTCTGGACTAAACTTTGCTTTCACAGATATACAAAGATGTCCTGGTGTCCTCTTCTTCTCTCTTTCCCTTCAATCAGCTCCCACACCTATTCCAGGTCTAATGAAGCAAACCAGAATCCTCACATTCTTTCTGATGATGTTGGACAGTGCATTAAACCCAAACCACCACCGTGGTTTCCAAGGATTAAATGAGACAGACAATTGCAATACCTGTACTGAACACAGTAATACAACTGCATGAGTCATATATATACATATATATATACTGTTCTTGGTTTTATTGTTCCATTTGAATATTTCTACTGTAAAAAAAGGCAGTGGTTTTGAAATTGTTGAAAATAAATGTATTTTTGTACATCAGAGTTACCCCTGGCTGCTTTTTCAATCCTTGCTCTTTTTAGATTTCCTTTTGGCAAAGTCTTCTTTCTCTTCTGAATTTCCCTTGCCATATCTATGCCTCCAACTCTGTTGTCCAGGGTCATGCATGCACATGGAGTGTCAACAGAGAAATGTTCTAAGGCAGGACTTTTAAGATAAAACAGAAAACAGCTACCTCTCCTTCCTTCTTAGTGCTCCTCTGCAAAAATAATTATCTTCTTACCTTTCCATTCTACAGGCTGATTCTCTTTGGAGCCTTGGAGGTGAATAGGAGGAGAGAACACTCTGCTTGTACAAACACTACCCCATAAATCCCATGCTCTCACCTGTCTGATTTTAGCTTGTAAGAGACTGTAAAGTGCCAATGTGGGAAAAAGAAAAGAAAAGAAAGAAAATTTTTCTTCACTCCTTGGCAAAAGAGACAATTGAAAAACAGAAAAGAGCATGGAAATATGTCTCTGGATATGAATCAGCCATCTCCACCCATGCACCTGCATGCACACCCCACTCTCCCTCCATTCCTTTAGGTCTGAGGTCCATAAACTGCAGTTGTTTCTGGTTTTCCTTTATGTCAGAAAGCTGAGAAAGTCAGGCAGTGAAGGACTGGGTTGGCCATCCCTGAGTGTGATGTAGGAGATGCTTTCAGCATCACAGAACAACTCTCAGCTTTTGAAATATTTGTGTCGGCCCCTCTTTACAGCAATGATAGTGTAACACTTGTGTTCTTGGGATCCTGAACTACAAATTATGGACAGACAAGCCCAAAGGATGAAATTGCCATGGCTTAACAAGCTGCCACTGAGACCCAGTGCTCAACTGTTCAGAAACTCAGCTAAGTGCAGCTGTGGAGTCAAGTGCAGGCCCTTAAACTTCATAGTCTAGAAACATGAGCAGTAGCTCAATCTTTGCCTAAATCCAGCTGGTTTTTCTGTGATGGATGGACCTCTTATTCCCTTTATGAAGGGCGGTGTAAGCATTGTTTACTACATTATGAAATTGTCATGGTTGTGCCAAATACCCCTCTTTCAGGGAATTGGTGCTCCTCAGGAAAATGCATCATAACTGCTCCTGGAGTCAGCTCCTCCCTGTCTTGTTTCACTTTCACACACTTCCACAGGCTGAGGCTCTGCTTAGCTGGCTTTGCCTTCTTTGCCTGGGTCTTCCCTTGGCCCTCTCCCCACTGAAGTACTCTGATTATTAAGGACTATCAAAGCTCCATTGCATTACTGACATATTATTGTAATGCATCACTTGAGTGCTGCTCTGCTGTTGTATATCATGGTGCTACATCAGGGAAATGGCAGGTGACAGGAGCCCCAGACCCAGAGACTGATCACTTTTCTAAGCTTTATGGCCTGCTTTTTTTTTTTTTTTTTTTTTTTTTTTCTTTTTTTTCTTTTTTTTCTTTTTTTTGGCAAAGCCTGCAAATAAAGGCAAGGAAAGCAGTATTGGACTGCTGCCATGAAGCTTTCAAAACCTTTAGATATATTTACCTCTACATTTTTCCCTTGACCCTGAAACATTAATTAAACAAATTTGCTGATGTTTCTATATGAGACCATAGAGATGAGTTTATTTTGGGTCATGGAGGAAAGAACAATTGCTCACTAGGAACTGTTTCATAAATTTCTGTGAGAGAGCAGAAAAGAAAGATTTGTCCTTGCAAAACAAAAAAAAAAAAACAAAAAAACAACAACAAAAAATTTATAATAATAATTTGTTCCTGAATTTCAAAAAAATTATTACTAGTAGGTCAATTGACTGTATTTTAAATGTAGTTGTGCAGGTAGAAGGCAACTGTGCTGTTGATATTGGGATTTTACCCTTGATAAATATAAAAAGATTTGTTTTACAATTGCTTTATGGTGGTTATACCTGTTCAGTCCCCCTGATATCAGTGAATTTAGTCTTGATTTGCACCAGTTTGAGCTCTCACATTAAGAGGAGTTACATGCAAACTTCAAGGATGGAATAAATCCTTTTTAATGCCTTATTGTGAATGTCAAGCAGTTTTCAGACCAAAACTTAGGGGAGATTGTAATACTACTACTAATAAAAAAATCACATACAGGGATGTAGTTGGAAGGAAGGAGTAGCATGTTTGTTAAATTAAACAGAAATATTATGATGATGTATATTTTTAAAATCTTGTGTTGGCTACCTGAACCTGAAAGGAAAAAAGGAGAGGAAAACTGGAAGCCAGATGTGAAGCAGAGTGAGGAAAAAGAAAGGTGAACCAGGCTGGCTGGGATCCTGTGGCTGACCAG